CATCAGTAAGTCGGCTTGGTGAATCCCAAGTATGGTAGGCAGTCATATTGTTTTGTACGCAATTGGAGTTTCTGAATCAAGTATTATAAAAATAATTTGTTTTTGAAAATAAGAAAAAGTCGAAAATGAGATCTATTTATCTATATATATATATATGTTTGGATAAAAACATAAGGTATAGATAAACATGTGACAAACTGTTAACATACTTGTGCTTAATATGCTAAAAAAATAATCCGTTCTTTTAAGGACAAACCAGAATTTTGAAAGAAACAGAAGCATATCTTTGACCCATATATTGTTCATTCGTTAAAACTAAGTCCAAAGTACTTACGAATAAGTGTGCTAATATTATCAATAATTATTTTGTATTTATCAATAATCTTTGTCAAAGGTAGGTCAAATCAAAAGGCAATTCTTAACAAATAAATTGTGTTTTTTTAAGCTGGTAACCGATATAAAGGGTTTGATTTTATGATGTTCAAATACTAACATTTTATAAAGAGAACCAAACCATTGTGAGACAAGAATCGTCTTTTCCACAATTGAATTAAATTGACGGTTCAGCAAACTGTGTCTATGAACCTGCTATTGTACGCTGTTATCAACATAGATCCGACGATTGGTTTAGAAGTAAAATTATAAAGAGAGATGTTCATGGAATACCATCGAAGCATAGAATCCGATCAATCAAACAAATGACTTTTTGTGTGCATTCAGCGTATGGATATCTGCAATGATAACTACTGATATATTGGCATTCAAGAGACTTTTTTTTCGAAAGTTTGTCAAGACAGGCATCTACATATATCGTACTTTCACGAGGGAAAACAATAGAAACTAAATTGTCAAAGCTCTAATCAGTTTCATACATCATTCAAATCTTTTTTGTGAACGATACTACAAAATAGAGAACGAGAAGCAAACAAAAATGCGTCTTATCAATATAATACGATATTGAACAAATCAAGTTTTACGTGGCGAACATAAATTATCATTGATTTTTTCAATACGTTCGAAATATCAGTTTGATCATGATCTATCTTCTATTGGAATGTTCAATTAAATAGTGGGTCAGTCAATAGAGTACGAACGTCTTGAATTTCACAAAGGAATATTTTTGTAAATTAAAAATTTTCTCTAGTTCGTTTTAATGCAGTATTAATTTTGAGATGAATATTTAGTTTGCTTTAACGCTGTTTCGCAGAGACGTAAACCACAATCTATCTAAGTTTTTTCCCACTAAGAAATAATTGGGACTCCGTCGAATCTGAATTACATTACATAGGTGTTTCAGTCATAATCATATCATGCTTGAATGCCGTATTTTGTTCAGTTTGTTATTCTCTATTTTTAATGATGATGCATGAAAACGAAGATGTCTAGAACTTTGACTAAACATTCTTTGCTATTTTATTCCATAAAAGTATGATGATTGTAAAAACTCATCCGGTGTATGAAAAAACCGTTTGAATCAAATACTTCACACATGTTCGATGGAACTTATGATTATTTTTTTTACAGAATTTTAATCATAAACAATGACTTTAACTTTCGATTTGTATGTTTTGATAGAAATGTAGAAGTACAATGTCAAAGGAATATGAATTTGAAAAATTAAGTGTATTATGCGAAGGATTTAGTTATCCAGGTGATTCGCATATTTTAAATGGATCTTGCCGCGTTGATAAAATAGATTTTTGATTTTGATAAAAAAAATATTTCACCTATTGCATTTTAGTTAGAATATCATCTTGAATTGATGAGTAGAGGATCTTTAGATTCAAATTCATCATGTGATCATCTAGATACGTATGTTAAAATTTATTCATTTATTTTGTTTGTGAAATAAATTGTGTGATCTTCCATTTTAGAGAGATTCCAGTAACTTGGTTACTTTTAACTTTATTACTTTTTTCAATATTGATTGGTCTTATTTTTCTTTGTTTTTTGCAAATATACTTCAGATTTAATTGTAGAACTAATTTCTAGATGCTTACGAAACAGATAGAATATTTTCTAGAACATACAAGACAGTTAATTTGGTATTGAATATCATTACATGTATTTGGGATCTACTCTTGGCAATTAACAATACTCATAGTACTGGTACAGCAAGGACTAGTAAGATAGCTATTGCAGTCTGTCTTTACTTGATAAATTGTTTTATTCTCTAGATTATGATGGAACCACTGGTCGATAAATCCAACATA